ATCTCGTTGAAGAATGGGATTGGTATTTGTATTGGGATTGCATTAAATGTGTAAATTGCTTTTGGTAGTATTGCCATTTTCTATGTTGTTGTTGTTGTTATGTGCCATCAAGTCACTTGCGACTCATAGCGACCCTATGTACAACAGCCCTAAACTCTGCTCTGTCCTGTGCCAATCACACTGTCTCCGACACACCCATCCCGATTGCCCCAGTCACTGAATCAATCCACCTCATAGAGGGTCTTCCCCCCCTGCGCTGTCCCTCCACCCTCCCAAGCTTGATGTCCTTCTCCAAGGACTGGTCTCTCTTTACAACATGACCAAAGTATGTCGGATGAAGCATATGTATTTAACTCAATCCACTGCTGATGAGTTAATTTCAGCCCATAATGACGTTCCTCTGGTTTCTAAGGCCATAGATCCTAACCAGAGAAGACAGGTCATCTCTCTCCTATCCAGTGGCTGGGAGATTCAAATCATCAGTTCAAACAACTTTCAATTAACAGCCTACCAAGTGTGAGAGAAAGAATGACAGATAATTAGGTAGGTAACTAGGTCCCCTCAAACTCAAAGTCATTACTGTTGAGTTGGAGCTGACCCCTAACTGACACTCCAGTGGGTTTCTGAGGCTGTGAATCACATGGGAGGAAATTGTCCATCTTTCTCCCTTGGAGTCGCTATTGATTTAAATCACCAGAGAGACATGGCCTTTGTGGTACCAGCAACAACTGCCTAAATAGACAGGTGGCCAGACAGATATTAAGGACTGACTGATCTTAAGGAATTAGTTCACATGATTATAGGGTTGACAAGTCTGATATCTGTAGGCAGGTGACAGACAGACTAGAACTCCAGGGAAGAGAAGATGTTGCGGTCTAGAGCAGCATAGTTAAGGTCATTCTCTGCCAGGCTCTTCATGCCCACCTGGTCTCCCATCTACACAAGCAAATGCATTTCTACCTCAAGTCCCCTCAGTGGAACCTAATCCCCATTTAGATCACAGGATCCCTGCTTTTCAGCAATTCCTGCTCTTGTCTCTGAGACACAAGAATGTTGTCGTGGGTTTCTGTGCCACTCTGGATTCATCCCTGCCCATTATTTTAGTATCTCCTCTCCTGCCCCATGCCGTGATGGTACAGGGGTGCTCTCCCAGATTCAGGTGGCAGCTGTGTCCTCTCTACTCTCAGGTGCCTACACACACCAGGGGAGCTATCTCCTATTGTTGTTCCTGGGGAGTTCACGTGGTCTTGGGGTGCAGGCAACATGGCACCTGACTCTGGTTCCTATACATCTCCAGATCATCTTAGGAAGTGTCTTCATGTAGCTATCTGTAGCCTTGTCTATCCAATTCAATGAGCACTTACTAAATGTTTATTGTACATTGTCTTTGAAGAAATATAACCAGATTGCTCCTTAAAGGCCAGGATGATGGAACTTCAGCTCACTTACTCTGGATGTTCCATCTAGAAAGACCATCTCTGGAACAGGACATCATAGCTGATAATGTGGAGGATCAATGAAAACAAGGGAAGCTGTCAATGAAAGGGTGACACAATGAACAGAAGGATGGACCAGTTGATCATAAAGATTGCTAAGGACCAGGGAACATTTCTGTTAAATGTAAGGCTGCCGTAAGCTGCCTCAATGGCAGTTAACAACAATACTATGTTCTACGTATATTGATGAATGAAATATGAATCCTGAACATGAGTTCTGCTTTAGAACTTGACCAAGAGACTTAGTCAACACGAGACTGAGTTCCATGTGAAACTCTCTAACTCCAGGGACTTGGCACATCTTGGTAAGTATACAAGGAGCTCTGGTGGTATAATACACTATGTGTTGTACTCCGAAGCAAAAAGTCAGTGGATCAAATTCACTATCTGCTTCATGGACAAAAGATGAGCATCTTCATTACGCAAAGGTTGATAGCTGTGGAAACCCAAGGGAACACACTCTGAGCTGCAATTAACTTCACACCAATGGGGCTGATGTTTTGGGTTGTTTCAGTACATTTGTCAGGCAAATATAAGGTAAATGCCCATTAGTAGCTCAAGTGTTATTTCTTTCTTCTTTGCAGAAATGTGTGTATATGTGTATGTTTTATACATATATATTTATATATAGTTTTTTCCTTCATTATGGTTAATCTCCAAATAGGCAGGCTTACTCATGCCCCAGATCCCAGCCGCCTACTGGGCATTTTTTTCGAGTGCTTTAGGGTAAGTCCCTGATCCGGCTTCACACAGCTTTCATTTATGTTTCCTTTGCCACCCCACAGCACGGCTACTGTTTTCAAAGGACAGAAATCTCAGCAGACAGATTCATTCTGAGCTGTTTACTGGACACACACCAGTGAGCTCATTAGCCCAGGAGAACTATGGGGCTATTATTTTTTTTAAAAAAAATATTATTGTTTGCAGCAGATCAGAGTGTGGGGAGCTCCTTCTTGCATGGCTGTACGTTCAGTGGGTGGGAACTGAAATGGCCAGGAAAGGGGACTGTGCTTTGCAAGCATGCATTTTTCCTTCGGGGTGTCTGTTTTTGTTTGTCGGAAGAGAGGAGCTCAAGTGGGAAATTTCTAGGTCAGCAATACTGTGCTCAGCAAGGCTAGCCAAAAAGAACAGCAACCCTCTAGCTGGGGCTTTTTTGAATGTCTTGTCTGATTACCCAATTATTACAGCTCAGATTAGAGAGGGATTAACCCCTGAGGTTCGACAGATGGAGAGCACTATTAAAATACCCCATGTGGGGCTTCAGGGTAAGTCGCAAAGTGACCACCTGTCCCTGTTTCTGTGGGTCAGTGTGTCCTCATTTAAGACCCAGGATCGCTCTCTTTGATGTGTTTGTGTGAGGAAACTAAATAGCTCAAGAAGCAGGCTGAGGCCGCCCCTCTCCAGCTCTGTCTCCATCTTCAGCTCTGCCCTAGATTCACCTGCGAAGAGATGTGAGGCTGAGTTACAAAGAACGTTGGGAGTGTGTTTCCTCTGTGCCCTGGGGAACAAGCCCTGGACATCTTACCAGATCTAAATGGACAGCAAGGTTATCATTCTCTAGACTTTCTTATTCCTGCATTAACTGTTGAGGAAATTGGAGACTGCTCCTTGTCTGTCGCTGTTACTTTTAGGTGCCATTGAATGAGCTCTGACTCAGAGCAACCTCATGTGTGATAGAATGACACACGCCCGGGGCCTCATCATCCTCACAGACTCTGCCACTTGTAAGCCTGTTGTTGTAGCCACTGCTGTCGACCAATCCCACTGCAGGTCTTTCTCTTTTTCAATGACTCTACCAAGTGTGATGTCTTTCTCCAGGAAGTGGTCCTTCCTGATATGTGTCCAAAGAATGTGAAATGATATCTCACCATCTTTGCGTCTATGGAGCATCCCAGCTGCACTTTTTTGAAGACAAATTGGCTCATCCTTCTGCCAGTATATGGTGTAGTCAACATTCTTCACCAACAACTTCATTCAAAGGCATCAATTCTTCAATCTCCCTGATTAACTGTCAAGTTTCCTTATGCATATGAGGCACTCGAAAATGCATAGATTTGGCCAGGTGTGTGTTAGTTCTCAAAGTGACATCCTTATTCTTTAGCACTTTAAATAAAGTGATCCAGGGCAGCAGCTTTGCTCAGAGTAATACATTGTTTGAAGCTTTGACTGCTGCTGCTTCCATGAGCTCGACTATGGAGCAACGTGAAAAGAAATCCTTAACAGCATTAATGTTTTCTGCATTTCTCATGACATTGTGTTTAGTTCAATTGTGAGGATTTGGGGACCTTCCTTGGGCATATGCAATTCAGGGCTACATCTGAGCCATGTCACTGTGAATGTTCTTGGAGGTGGGAGAGGAATGGAGAAGTCTGTTTTGGGTCTTGGCTTGTCACCCTGGCCTTTCTGGGAGGAAGGGGCAGTCTTTGCACTGCCATGCTAGGCAAGGAAGCTGAATGGGCTTGGGACTTGTGTTCCTGCCTTGAACGCCCAAGCAGGCAGGGACTACCCACAGTCCGCTCACTCATTAATAAGCCATTGAGTTCTTTCCGCTTCAGGTCCTTCATCTTACAGAAGTGATGCTGCTGGCCTCAGGGAAGTATGCTCAGGAACACTGATGGTTGATGAGAAAACATCAGACCCAATAAAATATGATCGTATGAAGAAGCTCTGGTGGCATGGTGGTAAGGAGCTGCACTGCAATCCTGAAGGCACACGGTTCAAATCCACAAGATGCTCTGTGTACGAAGGATAGTCAATTTCCTCTCATGTGATTAATTAATTGCCTTTGAAAACCTGCCAGAGGGTCAGCTATGGGTCAGTTCTCACTCGATGGTATAAAACAATAACAACAATCTCAAGACTTTAATGATTCGAATGATTGTAGCTTTTTCTCCTTTATTGAACACAGTCAATTTAAGAAAAGTAGATTGAACACCCAGACCATCAAAGCCACTACCCCAACCGCAGAAGCACAGCATCAGAGCGCTCACTCCTCACACTATAAAACAGCCACTCCTTTTTATTTGAATACTTCTAGGGATGAAGAACTCACTCCGTCTAGACACAGCTCATTCTGGACAATTCCATTGGAGGTGATTCTAGTTAAGCAGTGATTTTGTTGTTTGTTTCGTATTGTCACATCAGTTTTACCTCCGTGTGATTTTTCAAAAAAAAAGTAATATTTTTTTCATTCATAGATATCATTTCAGGCATGTACATTGTGTTTTATACATCTTTCCTTTACGCCTTATTTTGTTCCTATATATTGTGGGGGTTTGCAATAAGCTTACTAATAGTTTTTTTGTGGACAGATACTTGTTTTCATTAATTAAATCACTGAAGCCTCACTGTAATCTCATTAAGTTGGTCCTCCCCATTTCCTAGATGAGGAAGAGGCACATAGTTGAGGGATTTGCTCAATATCAGACAACTAGTAAGTGGCAGAGCAAGCTGGCTCTCCATTCTTAATTTGTACTTAGATTATCTATTGTTTAGGATACTCCTCAAAGCTTTGTTGTTGTTGTTAGGTGCTGTCAAATCAGCCCTGACTCACAGTAACCCTTTGAATAACAGGGTGAGACTCTGCCTCATCTTGCACTGCCCTCTCAATCTCTGCCATGCTCAAGACATTGTTGCAGTCACCATGTCAATCCAGCTCATTGAGGATCTCCTTCTTTTTCACCACACCTCTGTTTGTCAGGAATAAGGAGACACATTACACTGGAAAAATCTGCAGTTAGAGACCTCTCCAAATGATTGAGGAGTAATAAGGCCAGAACTTTCTGATTACTTGGCATGCATCTGAGAGCTGGACAATGAGTAAGGATGACAGAAAAAGAATTGATGCCTTTGAGCTCTGACGTTAGAGAAGAGCACTGAAAATCCCATGGATGGCCAAGACAATGAACAGGTAATATCTTGGAGACAGTCAACCAGAGTGCTTATTGGAGGCAAGAATGATGAGGTTATACTTTAGGCATGTTGTTAGGAGGTGCTGCTATTCCTTGGAGAGGGACATGATGCTGGGGATGTTGGAGGGCTGGCGAAGGAGAGGAAGACCTTCAGCCATCTGGATTGACATGGTGACTGCTGCAATGGGATTTTGTGTGTTAGGAAGGGTGAGGATGGTGCAGGATAGAACAGGGTTCAGAGTTTTTGTTCATAGGGTTGCTATGAGTGGTACTTGACTCAACAGCACCTAACAAAAACTACTTGTAGTAGCATGACGCCCTTCTCCAGGAACTGGTCCCACCTGACAACCTGTCTAAAACTTAGTTACTTAAAATCATGACCATTTTATTTGCTCTCTATTTTGTGGACCAGGGATCTTGGCAGGGCTCAGTTGGGTGGTTCTTCAGCTCTACTGGACATCAACTGAGTTTTCTGGTGAGTTGCAGTCTGATAGTAGCTAGGACTGGAATATCCAATGTGGATCAACACACTTCGAGAACCTTGCTAAACATAGCTGGGGGAGGGAGGGGTTCTACGTGTATCTCCCTTCATGGAGCACTTGTGTTCATTTCATGGCAGCTGGATTCCAAGTAGCAAAGGCAGAAGCTATATAAGACCCAAGCTCAACGATTACATTATATCACGCTTACCAAATTCTATTGATCAAAATAAATCCTGAGGCAGCCCAGATTCAAGATTAAGGTAAATAAAGTCAACCTCATTTTTGGAGAATGGTAAAATCTTCATGCAAAAGAGCATGTGCATGGTATGTAAGGATAGCTCAATGCAAGAAAAATAATCGTAATTCATTACATTAACAAAGCATATAACAAGAACCACATGATCCTTGCAATCAATCCAGAAAAGGCATTTGACAAAATCCAACACTCTTCCTGATGAAAACTCTCAGTGATTTTGGAATAGAAGGGAATTTCCTCAACACAGTGAAAAGAATATATGCAAAATATAAGTATATATGCAAGAGCCAATATAACTGGAGAAAGATCAAAAGCACTTTCCTTGCAAACAGGACCAGACAAGGAAGATCTCTGTCACCATTCCTATTCAACAATGTATTGGAAGTCCTTGCTAAGGTAATGCAAATGGTTGTTGTTGTTGTTAAGTGTTGTCAGTCGCTTGTGACTGATTGCAACTCTATGCACAACAGCTCTGACCCATGGTCTATATTGAGCCAATCTCACTGTCTCTGAACCACCTACCCTCATTACCCCATTTATTGTGTCAATCCATCTCATCTGGGCTCTTCATCTTTTGTGTTATTCTAGACCTTTGCAATTATGATATTTGTCTCCAAAAACTGGTCTCTCCTATCTACATATCAAATATGTTAGATGGAGTCTCAAAGTCCTTGTCTCTCCTAAGGAGTAGCATGTTTCATCTTCTCAAGGATAGACCTGTTCATTTTCTTGGCAGTCCATGTTCAAAACTCTTCTCCAGCACCACAACTCATAGGTATCAGTTTCTCTTCTGTTATCTTTGGTCAGTATTCAGCTCTCTGATGCATAGCAAGAAATTATGAAGACTATAACTTGAATTAGTCACACCTTAGTCTCTAGACTGACGTCCTTGCTCTTAAACACTCAGGAGAGGTCCTTGAGAGCAAATTTTCCTAATGTAATTCATCTTTTGATTTCCTGACTGCTGGTGTCAACAGTGGTTGATTGTGGAACTGAGCAAGCTTAAATTGTTGACAATCTCAATCTCTTCTCCATCTGTTGCGATGCTGCCAATGGGCCCAGTGGTAAGAATCTTTCTTTTATTGATGTTGAGCTTTAATACATATTGCAAAATACACTCTTCCACCCTCTATAACAGATGCTTTAGGTCCTCCTCAGTTTCAGCGAGTGAAGTTGTCATTTGCATCACACAACTGTAATAACCAAAAACACTGCACTGGTACAATGATAGCAACATAGACCAATGGAACAGAATTGATAACCCAAAATTTAATCTGGCTATCTATGGTCGACTGATATTCAACAAGGAAACAAAACCTATCAGATGGGGAAAGTATAACCTCTTCAATAAATGGTGCTTGCAAAACTGGACATTTGCAAATGCTCTCAAGCATTCTCAAGTGTTTTTTTTTTTCAGGTTAACTTTGTTATATTCTTCTGAAATATGAAATACCATCCCAGTATCTCCCTATTCCTCTCTCTCAGCTTGCCCTATAATCATATATCAGATCCTACAGTGTTCTGGACTGATGCATGGCAAAAGGCCAGCATTGTTTGCCCTCTAGATGGGAACACAGAATTCAATGAGAATTTTTTACTGTCATGTACACAAGCGTTTCTGTCACATGCAAGTCTGATGTCCTACATTCTATATTTGTGCAGTTGTTTTGAGGGAGCCAAGATAAAGTGCCTTACATGAAATTCACCCTGGCACCATGACTCACTGAGTCCTAACCTCTCTTTCTAAAACTTTTTCCAAGTTTAGAGACAAGAGCAAAGCTCTACAGATCACTACTCAGAACTTCTCTCCATTTAAAATCAAGCCATTTAACATGCAACTTCTAGAAACTTAGAAGATAGTTGTTTAGATGATTGTGGATTCATCAACTCATGTTTGCATCAGCACACACTTTTATATCTCATCCATGAATGTCATAAGAACTGCTGCCAACTCTTTGGTCAGGTGACAAAGTTTTCTGGTGTACCCTTCCCAGATTTCCTTTCATGGGAGAAATTAGTGTCTTTGAACTGAGTTTACTTTTGAAAGTCTTATTGATTCCTGGTGACCAAAACTTCCCTGTCTCAGATTGTTGTTGTTATTAAGTACCATCATTATGACCCTATGAACAAAAGATCTGAACCTTGTTCTATCCTGCACCATTCTCACACTTTCTGACACATAAGAGCCCATCGCAGCAGTCGCCATATCAGTCCACCTGGTTGAAGGTCTTCCTCTCGTTGGCAGACTCTCCACCCTTCCCAGTATCATCATGTCCTTTTCCAAAGAATAGCCCTTCCTAGCAACGTGCCTGAAGTATGTGAGGCAAACCCTCATCATTCTTGCCCTCAAAAAACACTTTGGCTGCACCCTCTCCAAGACGTATCTGTTCTCTTGGCCATCCATGGCTGTTTAGTGTTCTTCTCCCACACCACAGCTCAAAGGTGTCAATTCTTTTTCTGTCATCCTTATTTACTGTCCAGTTCTCAAATGCCTATCAAGTAATTGGAAAGACTATGGCCTGAACTAGATGTGCCTTAGTCCTCAAACTGACATCACTACTCCTCAATAATTTGAAAAGGTCCCTAACAGCAGGTTTTCCTGGCTCAATGTGTCTCCTTGTTTCCTGACTGCTGGTACCAAGGGTGTTAATTGTAGATCCAAGCAAGATGAAGCTGTTGACCATTTCAATCTCCTCTCCATCCATCATGACACTGCCTATAGGCCCAGTGGTGAGAATTTTTGTTTTCTTGACTTTAAGATGCAATCCATACTGAAGGCTGCATGTGTTCCAGGTGGAAGTTTTCCTCCCTTCCACCCTCAGGTACCTTGCCACCTTTGGACTTTTATACACGTTACTCATTATTTTTCTATTTTTATAATAATCAACTTATACAATATTTGTCTTTATGACACT